AAAAATTTAGCAACATTTTTAACTGAAATGAACTTGGGTTATGGACCACTGACTGTGTCATTTTCAATAAGGACCTGGCGCTGGGAACTGATGCAGAAGGACAGAAGGTGAAGGATTCCATGCGAGTGCTCTTGCCAGTTCTGCTCAACAAAAACCACGACAATTATGATAAAATACGAGCAATCCTGCTCTATATCTTCAGTAATAATGGTAATGGAGACTTTGTTCATTTTTATAAATATATTAGAGTATCCAGCTCTGAAATCACATTATAATAAGTGGTTTACTAAGAAAATTAAAGGTGGTAGCTGAAGTTGGTTAAGATAAGGAAAGGGAAAAATATGAAATTGGGAGAAGACTGAAGGATATATAATTTAAATGTTTGCTTTTTATTTAAACATTATTATTAGATACCACCTAAAACCTAGAAATGATTGTGGTAGCAATTATATGACTCATATTTTTACTTATCTAAGGAACAACGGAAGAAAATTTGGATAGGTTGATCCAGAATGTAAAGATAGAAAATGAGAGTGATATGATTCGTAACTGGAGTTACCTTGGTGTCCCCATTGTCCCCCCGGTAAGAAATCTTACATTCTATAAGTACTTACATGTATGCATGTGCAGTTGTTTGCATTAAATGTTTTCTTATATGGGTATCCATGTGGATAGTTTTCTAAATTTTACTCCAAAGATTTGGTAAGTAAAACATTAACATTTTGTTTTCCATATATGAGTAATTTAGACAATTACACCTTCCTGGTGAATTTATATCTTAGGGTTTCTCTTGTAATTTGCTATTTATGCTTTTCTCTTTATATTTAATTTAAAACAAATTTTGAAAAAACTCTATTTGGAATCTTATTCTTTTCCCATTAAATTCTATAGCCCTTTCGAATAAACGTATTTTCTGGTCCTATTATAAATTTTATCCTTAAAGCAAAAAATACTGTTAAGTTATATGTCCACAACTATTCAGATTATTCGAACAGGCATTTCCAATTTTACTTTTAAATAGTACAACATAGTATTTGCTGTAAATTAAATATCTTTGTTAGAAAACTTAATAAAAGAATACACTAAATAAATTGTTGATTTTTAATCCCCCTCTCCCCCATCTAATTATATTAGTCTCCACAAGGCAAACCATCAAGAAAGGATCGGTCTGCAGAAGAAACTTTCCAACTCTCTCGATGGACACCTTATATCAAAGATATTTTGGAGGTAAAATTCACTAAATTTTACTTATACCTTGAATGGCCTCCTGTAGAGCATTCTTAACTGTCTGTAGTTTATAGGTTAGGAATTGTCTGCAGTACTGGGAGGTTCACCGAAGAAGCCTGTATCTGGGGTCAAGGCGGGAAAGGAAACTCTTGAAGATTCTTTCCTTGAAGACCTCAAACAAACACCACTGGTTGCCTCCAAATAAATAAATAAAATCAGCACACACATGCTTTTGGGAAAAACTGCTGTTGTTTTAAATAACTATATGTAGCAGATATACAAATAATTTATTTGAACGAAAGTCCAAAACAAAATAACACTTGTATATAACCACTGCTAGAAAGTGTTAGACTCCAGTATTCTTGGAAATGTATTTGTGATTAAAATGTAAACTTCACTATGGTTTGCTGTTATATTCAACAGATGGTTTGTGCCTTTTAGTATTGTTCACTTAGAAGATATTCAATTATAGGAAATTAGAAAATAAACTAATAAAAATTGTTTTATGAACTCATTTAAATCATGACATTATCCTTCAGTCAAAATTGCTAGTACCTACTTCATTTATTTCAATTTTTCTTTGACTTAAACTGCAATTTCTACTTTCCTTTAGTATCTAATTGGATACAATTTATTACTATGATTTTTCTGTTTTCTTTGACTAGTTTTATGCCACTCACACATGCTTAATCATAATTGAAAAGTTT